CAGCCAAGCCTTTGTTACAAAGCTTGACCAAATTCACTACTGAATACAGTGAACCCTTGAGTCCATCAGTATGGGTTCTTAATGGGCCCAACATTTACACTAAATGGTCATTGGGTCCAGCCATCTTATGAAGGCCCAATGATTGTGGGCAGATGTGAGATTAGCCCATCAGGTTTATTATCCCAAAATGATCTTACACTTAACCTCTCAGCCCTTAATGATCAAACAATGCCCGACAAGAGAGGACCTCTCCCTCGGTTGCAAGGTACAATGTTACACTCTCTACTCATATGGATCCCGGGAACTAAAATCTTTTGCAAACATTTTGTAAAACCATAATATATATGTATATCTCTATATAAATATATTTTGCAAAACAAATTTCAACAAATTTGAAATCAATTGTCGGCAGTTTAGGTTTTCATTAGAGAGAGTGCATTCCCCGATCATTCACTTTGTCCGACAAAGAGGTTGATCCTGTCACTATGATCACTCACTTAGGTGAATTCTTAGACTGCCCCAACATACCTAGGTTTTGACCCCCTCTAAGGATCTCACTGATTGGCATATCAAAGGTAGCCCAATCCAACACTTAGTGCAGTACCATAATCGAGTCTAGGGGTCAGGTGTAACATTCTAGTTTTGCCCATCTATCTCCAAGGTCCAGGGTAATACTGGAATTTGGTCCAGTTCAGGGTTTCAAGTAAACCCACATTGCATGTACCTCAGGTCTCACCCTAGCAGTCGAGACAAGCCACCCCAACCAACTTGGCGGCACATCAGTGTCAGCCTTGGCAGGATAAATCTCCCCAGATCTATCCAACGGCTGTGAAGATTATAAACTAACACGAGTCTCATAAGTATCCAGTTTAAGGGTATTACACAGAAACACACCAATATAACATGAATCAAATATGTACTTTATTCATTTACAATAAATGTCACAATGTACATCAAGCTGATTGGAGCTAAGGGCATACACTGTCTAACAATAGCAGTTATGAAAGCTACACACCCAAAGTGAAGGGATGGGAGATCCATCATATGGATGGTCGAACCCTGCAGGAAGGTTGGGCGAAATTTCAAAAATTTCTTTACTCCTATCCGGGAATCCTATTCCCAATTTAGAAAACTGCATTTTTAAGGTTTGTTCTTGTAATCAAACAAGACCAAATCCAAAACCAAATTAAGGGAGGGATATACCTAATACAGAATCCACACAAGAATGCTCCTTCCAACGTAGGTATTCACACCCAAAGAGAGTACCAAATCCTCCCTCTACTGAAGATGACACAGCTTAGGGTGAGGCAGGATCAGCAGGTAGTTCTTCACCAAGAACTAGCGATTCTTCAATAAGAATCGAATGGGACAGTGAGCACAACTTCTAAATTGTTTCTTCTAGCAAGAAACAATATCAAGATCAAATCTTGATCCAATCCAAGAACTGAGATCGAACAGGGCAGGGCGGCAAGACCAAGAAGAAAAAGAGGCAGAAGGCAAAAGCAGTCTAACTGTGTTGTCTTCTCTCTGTATTCAGTGAATGTGTCTTTAGGGGTTCGCTCTGCTCTCTTATTTATAACCTTAAAGAGAAAATTTCCCAATCTCATTAGGAGTTTCCTGATCCAAATCTTTTACTTGGATTTTGACTCTTTAAGTGATAATCCCTTATCTTATCTGCAGATAAAGATAAACCTTCCTAATCAAATTAGGAGTTCCTTTGATCTAAATCTTTATTTGGATCTGGACTCTTTAAGTGGATAAGGATAATCCCTTATCTTATCTGTTGATCCAAATCCCTGATCCGCCCTTATTTAATTAATCTAATTAATCTAGTTCGAAATGGGCTTTCAGGCCCATTAATCTTTTAGGCTCACTTTCACTTTAATGCTGACTAGTTTGGCTCTCTTTGTATGGCGTGTGACCCTATCATTGATCTACACATCAGCTATATGGGTTCAGTCTAGCCTCTGTTACAAGGCCTGGCTGAATTCACTACTGAATACAGTGAACCCCTGAATCCATCATCATGGGTTCTTAATGGGCCCAACATTTACACTAAATGGTTCTTGGGTCCAACTATCTTATGAAGGCCCAAGGGCTGTCAGCAGATGCTAGATTAGCCCATCAAGTATAATCCTCAACAGTCTTACACTTAACCTCTCAGCCCATAATGATCAAACACTGCCTGACAAGAGATGACATCTCCCTCGGCTGCAAGGTGCAGTGCTGCACTCTCTACTCACATGGATCCCGGGAATTAAAACATTTTGCAAACATTTTGAAATCATAATATATATATATATGCATATATCTATATAAATATATTTTGCAAAAACATATTTCAACGGTTGAAATCAACTTCCGACAGTTTAGGTTTCCATTAGAGAGAGTGCATCATCGATCATTCACTTTATCTGACAAAGGGGCTGATTCTGTCAATATGATCACCCACTCAGATGAATTATCGGACTGTCCCAACATACCCAGGTTTTGACCCCCTCTAAGGATCTCACTGATTGGCATATCAAAGACAACCAAATCCGACACCTAGTGCAGTATCATAATCGAGTCTAGGGGTCAGGTGTAACATTCCAGTTTTTCCCATCTATCTCCAAGGTCTAAGGCAATACTGGAATTTTGGTCTAGTTCAGGGTTTCAAGAAAACCCACACTGCATGTACCTCAGGTCTCCCCCTGGCAGCTGAAGTACGCAGTCAAGTGGAAGGGGTATCCTGCATCAGAAGCTTCGTATGTATGAACGGACGAGTGTAGAAGGTAGAATGTTCTAGAGGTGCTTCTAGATGATTCTAAGTGTACATATTTATAGAGAAATCCTTTGAGGTGGAAGTGCCTATAAAAGGGGACCACCTCCCTCCTTTACATAGAACGAAGCAGTCAAGTGTTGTATCCCTCTCTTGAGCAATACAAAGAGTTCTTTTGAGTTCTCTATCTTTCTTTCCTTATGTACTTTGTGCCTTTATTACCTAAGTGTATGCCTTAGTGTGAGGGACGAGTTGGTAAGTTGCTTGGTCTCAAGAGCTAGGAGAATGCTCTAAATAGGGAAGGCTGACTTGTGGAGCGATGGACTGCTGCTCAAGTGCCACATGAGACACTAGATAAGTATATATTCATGACATAGCGCTATGTTGTTCAGTTTTAACTTCCAAAAAAGGCACTTTGATACATCTATGCCACAACATTGACGATCAATGCAACATAATCACATAGCTATCCATCCTACACTTTGTATTCCACGAACTCTTGATAGACTTGAATAGTATGACTTTGCAAGTGTTCCATCTTGGCTTTAGTGTAAATCAAATCACAAATCAAATCACTACAGACTTTCTGGCTTAGTTTGGAAAGAGTACAAATACAAATATGTATAATACAAATACATATAAAATAATACAAAATACAAGATTTTACACTCTAGATATTTGTATATTTGTATTTGTACTCATTCCAAACTAAGCATCTTTAACAATTCTTCTGACTCAGGTACACGCTCTTGGAGATATTCCTCTCGAATCTGTCCCTTATGGATCTCTCTTTATAGCTTGGCATTTTCTACTTATAGTACTCTCCTTGCTCTAATTGCACGCCTAGCCATGATACCCACTTTGTCATTATCTTCCATCTGTTCATTGTCTGCCCTATACCTGTGTAATTCAAACACCATGCTCATATAGGGATCAATGAGCAGACGCTTCAAGTGAACTTTGGACAATGTGCCTGAAGAGGGGGAGAAAGCACCAACTCTATTTCTCCTGCCTCTATCCACTGGTGATATAACTCAGTACAAGTTGGGAATCCACAGGTAGCCACATGGCAAACTCTCTCTTACTGGTGGTCTAGTATTGTTCTAACCTTGTCTTCATGTTCTGTTTGTAATTATGGAAGTCAATTAGATCCTTGGAGATCTAGAACTGGACAAACTACTAAAATCCAAACCAGCGGAGGACTCGAATAAGGGGCTGACCCTACACCTAGTAATTTGGCTAACACTACACTGTATTAGTTCTTGGAGGCCAACCTAGGCTGTTCACAATCAGACTGCAGTTTCCAAACAATTTCCACTTCTGGGTATTCATTTATATTTTGTACATAATCCTCTTGGGTAAGATGATCCAACCCAGGATGAGCATGAATAGTGTCGGAAATGCGATACCTGGTCCATTTTATTGGGCCACTGAAGATTGCCGGTGAAGGATCAACTAGTTGAAGAAGTTGCAATGATCCTTAAATCAACCACTGCCTCTATCATGTAACAAGGACAACCCCCTCAGTAACCGTGCCAATATCATGGGTATCAGGCCTTTTCTCAAACGGCAATTGAAATTGGCAAATTACCGGCCATTGCAGCATGCACTCGGTGTATCAACTCTTCGGTGAGAATAATATTAGGATGGGTGACCTATTGGAAAATCCTCGTGTTGCACCCCAACTTTTATCCGAGAACGCACTACACCTTTGTTGTAGTGCTCTCTAGATTTATTAAAAAAAAAAAAAAAGCAAATGCCAACTGCAACTTTAGGGTCCTGGTCTGGATTCTGGGTTTCACTTCTTAGCAATAGGAACTCTCAACTCACTGATTGGTCATCTGGCATGTCAATGTTTGTTTTTCTACAACTTTAAACTTTAAGGCTGTGTTTAGTTTGAAGGAAAAAAGTAGGAAAAGGAAAGGAAAGGCAGGGAAACCTTTCCCCATCTTTTCCTTCAAATCAAACATAGCCTAAATGTATGAAGCAGGTCCACAAGAAAAAAGTACACAGAGATTTTAAGTTTTAACCCCCTCAGTAGTGCAATTTTTAAGCCTGTCAACTAACAAGTCTTTGCCGATGTGTATAATTGTCTTTCAAAGGAAAAACAACTGCAAGATCAGTAAAATCATATTGTTTTCGCTATTATTTTTTGCTTTAAAAAATAAAATCATACATATTGGCAAAGACCAAAGGAAGCACAAAATACGAGGTACAAGCCTGGTAGCAGTAAGAGAGAGAACAAAATGCACAACCAGCATAAACCTTGTATCATTTCATTAACATGTAGAAATACACATTTTCAAGTACATAACCAGCAATATCACACAACATACAATCTTGTGGTGCCCAATTAAAAGAGTGTTGACTCCAATCAATCAAAAAAGAGACATTCAATGTGTACATGAGTGACCTTGGCCTTTTCAGATCATCTCACGACCTGCTTTTCAGCAATATTCTCTTGCCTTGTGTCAGACTTAGAACCGCCTACTCTTAGATTACAAAGTAAAGCATCACGCCCTGTTAGAACAATCTGAAAGAAACCTTCTACTTCTTTTGACAGAAGATCTAGCCCTTGTGAGAGATTCTGTACATACTTCCCCAAGTCCAAAACTAAATTACTCAACATATCTGATTCTGGAGGGTCTGTGCCATCACAAGTCATTTGATACAATTGCTTCACACTTGCTTCAACCGCTTGCAGATCTTTCAATAGTGTGTTACCTTCCTTGGAAACTAAGCTTCTGATCTCCCCATAAACATTGTTTTGCAATTCATTAAAAGCCTCTGCCCACAAGAACTTCTCAGAAACATGCAAATCCATCAATGGCTTTGCAGATCCTGAGAAAGCTGCTGTTAAGACACTACAAACAAATATTGTCTCAATCTTAACCCCATACAAAGCCCGCATTAGAACACTTCCTTTCGCTGAATTCTTAATCTTAGGAAGCTGAAGAGAGCCAGAAAGCTCATGCAAGATGGTGGAACAGTTATCAAGTTTTGGGCTTCTGGAACTCATCTGTTGCATCCAATCGTCAAGAGATGAACGAGCACGAATAAACTGTTCACTGGATGGGAAAGAAGTAGATACATCCAAAACAAGCAAAACGCATTGAAGCAAGAGCTGTCGCTGATTGAGTTGTGAAAGCTCAGAGCTAAAAGCAATGCAAATGTCAAGTAACTTAACACTGTCATCCAAGTAAACATCCATCCATTTTTCATCCCAGTCAGCAACAGGGAACTGAAGCTCAGTAATGAGGGCTTTGATGTCCATATGTGTTTCAGAAAGTAATTGCATTGCCAGTATTATCCAAGATAAGTTAAGGGTGCCACCCTGACCCTTCAGCTTTAGCTTTTTCAGCCTTTCTGCCAAGGTTTCCTCGAAGGAGTCTAACAGGGCCAGAAGCTTTGGAGAGAGGTAAGATCCCTTGGGAAATATCATCCGGAAAGGATTTCCAAAAGGAAAGAAAGGTGGATGCCCATCATGTGGACGACTCATTTTAACATATAACTGCTCAAAGAGTAACATAAATTTGTAAGCACAAGGAAAATTTGGGATATCACCAGAATAAAAGGCAATTATGTCACAACTAACAACAAAATAATAAAGAAGAAAATGGATTATAACAAAGCAGATATTATCTCCATGGCAATCAAAAGCAAGGTTTGAAATATTTGTAGCAATACCTAGATCGTCTATTATATATATTAAAGGAAGGTCTTCAGGCAACAGCCCCCACCCTTCAGACATGTGGCATTATAAAATTTCAATAGATAGAATCTTAGAAGAGGTTAAACTCTTATTCTTAAAAAAGTCTATCCACTCACAAAAAAGTGATCACTCCACTCTCTTAAAATTCACACAGTAGCATCCTAATCCCTAAAAAGTGGCCACTTCAAATGTTATGGTAGTAATTGAATTTTATTCACACACAACCATTTCAAAAGTAATGATTAAACAAACAATTTAACTTGAAAATATTCAAAATATTAAATGGATAAAATAAAAATAAATGAAATTCATAAATGACTAAACAATAATACAAATGGTGTGAGTTTCATTCTTTTAGATGAAATAGTTTATTAATTGCAAACTAGATTTAACTTTTTTTGGAAGCATAACCTAATTTAGCTTTTAAAAATAAATTTATCAAATAAATAGTAAATACCAATTAAAGCGGGTTACTACTTACAAATAAGACCTCATTTAATCTCTTAAATCATATTAAAAACAACATAAATTAATAGTGATTTTCAAACAAAGTAGGTCAGAATAGATTGTCAATTACAAAGATGTAAGACCCATGTTAATTTTTCTAATTTAACTTTTTATAATTAAGTAGTAAATTTCAAATTAAATGATACTGTAGTTGCCCCTTAGTATGGGGTCATTCTCTAGATAAAACATGGTAAGTCTCTTAAATCAAATAAAAAGACTAACCTAAATGTCTAATATAAATAATTTAAAAAAATTGAAATAATTCAGATTAATGGTCCTGTCCCATACTTAGTACGGATGTCATTCATAGTTATATATTATTGTAGAGGCTAAGATAACCATTTTAGAAAATTCTTTTGGTGAGAAAAGGCCATTATAAAATAAACTGTATTTGCCACTTGATCAATAATTTACCATATGAATATACAATAGCAATATTTGATTTCTTAAGAAGATTATGTATTACAGCCAAGGGGCCATTGCCCATTGCTTGATGTAGTATTAAAACCACAGGTGGGAAGCATGAGAACAAGGTTTCAGGTCTGAGAACAACCACTTCGTGCAATTAGTTGGGATCAGCATCTTAGACCTGAACTTCATGCAGAAAAAAAAATGGCTGTTTATTTTGAATTATTACAAAGAAAGGGTAATTACCAGTATAATAGAGAAAACATGAAGGCTGATTGTATCATATACTTCAACGTTAATATTGACATTCTGAAAACCATGATTGCAGGCAAGTGATAATCAATACGATTAACTGGATGAATTTGAAATCATCAAACTTGTTTCCATGCATTTGCTCATAAATTTAGATATCCCATGTCCCCACACCATCACAAACCAATGGTATAACAAACAAAGAATTCATCAAACACAAGTTCTTGAGGATACACAAATGACATCATTCGAAAGGCCATCCAGTTGCAGGTGCTTTTGAATGCCCAACTGCATCACTAGATATAAAGTCACTAGATGATAAGAGAATTAGAAATGAATCCGTCAAGGATGTCAAGAGATGGATTACCATCTAATCGTGTTATCAAGTCTGTAACGAATCCATTTTGAACTCGTATGTGCATATAGACTCCCCATAAGAATTCTAAAGGATTCTTAATACTTGAACTTCTTAGAAACATATATAAAAAAACATGAAATCAAATTTACTATTATCGTTTTGCTTTTCATTCATTATTTCTTCCAATTAATCATTTCTACCTATCTAACTAGCAGACCAGAGATAGTTTCGATCATCATAAATATATCCAACAAGAAACGCACAGATCTTCACCGAATTGAACAAGTTTCGACAGATCAACATAAAATCATAAAACATGTAACAACTCAGATCTCCTTCCCAGGGGGAAGTTCTTGCGAAAATGCCCCATCTACTGCATAATTAACAGAAATACATCGTATCCCGAACCATAATCAACAGAAGCCCCAACAGTCGTTTACACGAGGCGGAAACAAAACAATATAACAATAATATTACATCAGAACCCCAAACCTATGTAAAATTGAAAACCCTAATTCAGTCTAAGAAGAAAATTCAAGTTTTCATGAAGGTATCGGAGAAAAGAGATTAGGCAAGAAGACAAGAAGGAAACTACAGAAGCAAGGACGACACTTTCGCACCTGAATTGGTACTAACGAAGAGAAAATCTCAGACGAAGAAGTTGCAGACGCGTTAAGCACACTCACTCCTTGGTTTTTCTTCTAAACCTTGTGAATGAAGCCTAAGGCGTTGAAACGTTTAGGATAGAAAAATTGTTTTAGTGGTGGTAATGAGCACTATCCACGATGTTCACCCATTCCATTGAATGTTCAGGATACAAGAAGTTTCCAGGCTGAGCCCAGCCAAATAACGTAATGTTGATTTAACGGTAGATATTTGATCATCTGGAATAAAGTCCAACAAATATGATGAATCTTAGCTACAGCAGATGATTGTTACCGGTGTTGCTTGTCCATACACGTCAGCTCTTTGTTTATTTAGGAGAAATTTCAAACTTTGGTTGGCCACGGAAAATTTAAAAGTCGGCCATAAGCGTTATTTGAGTGGACGAATGGAATAAACTAATACTCGATCTGGACGGTCCCTGTTTGTTGGATGGTCTGAATCAGCCACTGGATTCCTCCAAATATGCGTTGCAACTATGTCCAGCAAGCTTCCCTGATTGACCCAATTATATGACTTTTTTCATTTTTAATTGTTTTTTGCAATAAAAGATCTTCATTAATAAAAAAAGTTCATTCAATCAGAAATATAAAAGATGATACATCCAGTTGTTAGAAGTACTTATTGGCCCTATTCAAAATTCATATATACTATATACTTACACGTCTTTTATAGGGTAGGAGTATGTATGAGTCATACTATTCATATTAATTTTTATATAATATATCTATATAAGTATATCTCTATATATTTTAAACATTGCAAAGGTGTGTGGATAGTATTTAAAAGTTGACACGTGATAATGCTGTCGGTTTGACAAGTATTATCTAAAATTTTGATGCCTGTTTTTCCCTTTTCCTTCTCTTCTTTATTAGTTTACCTTTTTCTCACATTCAATCTTTTTCTTCCTCTGTGTAGTATAAAAACAAAATACATTGGAAAAAGCTTCAAAGAAAAAGATCAGAAGTCGAACTATTAGGAATAAGAATTCTTCACTGAATAATTAAGAGAAAGTTTAATATAAAAAATTGTCTTAGCATTTCCCTAATTACTCTTTATATAGGCATACACATTTATGGCTTTTAAAGGAAAGCTTCATAATCTATGAAAGCACTCCATAATAGAATCCTACTAAAACTCTTCAAAAAGAAATTCCTAATTGAACAAAAAATCAGAAATCATGATCTAATACTAATTTGATAATTATGAACTAGAATAAAAGTCCTACACTGACACTAGCTTGGTAAATTCGAACTAAGATAGAAATTTTGTGTTGGCACAATCTTGATAAATTCAAACTAAGATGGAAATTCTGTGATGACGCTATCTTGGTAAATTCGAAATAAGATGGAAATTTCGTACTGGCGCCAACTTAGTAAATTCGAACCATAATAGAAGTTTTGCTCTGGCACTAACTTGATAATTGATTACTTGGTTGGATTAGTGACATCATCTGAGATTCTTATGTGTCTTGGAGTTGTCCTAACTTGCATAGAACTTATTGGCCTTATCCTGTACTGCATCATCCTCCCCGGGTTGGGAAGAATCCGTCATTGGATTCACATCATCATCTGACTAATCACTAACATATGTTACCAGGTGTTTGACATTGAAAACATCATGGGTACGCATATGGGTGGGTAGCTTTAGTGTATAAGCATTCTCATTGATGACTTCAACTATCTCATATGGTCCAACCTTCCTCGGTGCTAGTTTTCCACGTTGCCCAACCGGTAGGTGTTCCTATGTTAAAATGGCCCAAACATAGCCTCCCGCATCAAATACTACTTTCCTCCTATATGTACTAAGATGAAACTTCGGAAACTAACTTTGTAAATGTTTAATTAGTTGGTTTGAATCCTGTACTACATCATTCTCCCCGGGTTGGAGAGAATTCAACATCGGATTCATGTTACCATTTAATAGGCTGCCAATATATGATGTTGCACTTCCACCGTGCTTCTTTGTTTCTAACCCTTTGATATATATTTGGTGATGTAAGCTTCCAATAAGAATTGAGTTTTTTTCATTGTATATCTTAAATTTTGAAGTATATTTCTTTCACTTCACAGAACCTGAATTTTCTTTTATTGACTCTTTTGAACATTGCAAGAATGCTTGCCAATAAGGATCTTCGTAGACATGCATGTAGACAATGTGATCATAATCCCCAAGATGATAAGTATTATCTCCATCATATTGAAATTCATAATGAATTATGGCATATTCCTCCTTAGTAATTGATTCTTCATCATAGATTGGAGGTTTGTTCCAATCAACAAGTTTCTTTTCAAAAGATATTGTTAAGGAGAATGGCCACACCTCCTCTAGAACCTCTACACCTTTCAGTTCAACCCCCTTGTCAATTAAAGCATATGCAACACCCGTCTCTTTTAAGGCACTTGTGAATTCAGCCATGGCAAAAAGGTTAGAACCTTCCTTAGGTTTCTGTTTAGGTATAGTCTCTTGTGATGGGCATAAGGTTAGCTTTTTTCCTTTAAACTCAAAAGAGTAGGTGTCCTTTTGTCTGTTATGGACAATGTAGCGGTCAAATTGCCATGGGTGCCCAAGTAGCAAATGGCAAGCATCCATGCATACAACATCACACCATATACAATCACTATAATTATTGCCAATAGAAAACTTACTAGACATCGTTGTGTGACTGCAACTTCATTCTTTCTTTTTAGCCATGCAAGGTTGTAGGGGTGAAAGTATTGTTGAGTTTTTAGGTTCGGCTTACGAACGACTACTTCCGCTATAACATTCTCACAATTCCTGCTATCAATTACAAGGCTTGCAACCTTTCCATCCATAGTACACGTGGTGTGGAAAATATTATTTCTTATCTAATTCGATGATTCATCCCTAGGAATTAGGAATGATCACTGCATCACCAAGGCCTCTCCCACATCCCCATACACCATTTCTCCCTCTAAGGTTTCTTCATCATAAGGGTCAAACATAGGTGGGGTTGAGTAGTCAAATGCTTCCAATTAGGTTCCACTCTCATCTTCTACAAACATCACCCCTTTTCTTTTATCACCCCTTGCACATTCAACAAATTTATGGGCTGGTTCACCACACTTAAAACACTTCAGTCCAGGTGGACCCATTGGTCCACCTAGTTTTGATTAGGTCCACGTCCTTGGTTTTGGTTCAGCCCACGGGACTATGACTGATTTATAGGCGGGTTGGGATTACTACGTGGGGGTGATCTGGCCATATTAGTTTGGGTTTGGCCCAATTGGTTAGGTCGACTGCTTTGTTTTTCTATGGTTAGAGCATGTTAATGTGCCATAGAAACATCATAGAGTCAAATAGGTCTAATATGTCCTGAATATTTGGTCTTAGCCTACCTATATACCTAGCCATCAATTAGTCTTCAATTTCAGCTAATTCATTCCGATCCACTAATAGATGAAACTTCTTTGTATATTCATCTACTGTATCAGTTCCTTGCTTTAGATTTTGCAATTCTTGATAAAGTAAATGAATATAATTATGGGGTAGAAATTTTGACCTCATATTTGCCTTGAGTTTCTCCCATGTCTTAATCTTTTCCGTCGCATAACTTTCAATTGATGCCACCATGTTGTTCTTCTAAACCGAGTGGTTATTAAGGACACAATCTTATTTTCCAGAACTTCCTTGAATTCAAGGATTTCTTCTACCATGAAGAGCCAATCCATGAATTCTTCTAGAGTCATGCTTCATTGGAATTCTGGGATCTCAACATTAAAATCTACTTCCCACCATCTCTGATCACCACCCGCAACTATAACCGATCTGGTTGCTTTCCTTGATGATGAAAGGGAACATGTGGAGATACTTGCGTTAGAGTCGTTGTCCCTTCGCAATGATTTCAACTCCTGAGCAAGTGCCTTGACTTGTCTTCTCAGCTCTACTATCTCTCCTTGTGTTTTGTTGTTGGGTTTTTGCTCAATGATGTGAGCTACTTGTTTCTTCTTAGGAGCCACAATTCGAAGAAGGATCATACATGAGCTTTGATACCAACTAGCGCAGTACGGAAACGAAACACGTTGGGAAAAGATTCAAAAAAAAGAGCATAAGTCAAACTACCAAGAAAAAGAATTCTTCACTGAATAATTAAGAGAATTGTTTGTGCTTTGATACCAACTAGCGCAGTACAGAAACGAAACACGTTGGGAAAAGATTCAAAGAAAAGAGCATAAGTCAAACTACCAAGAAGAATAATTCTTCACTGAATAATTAAGAGAAAATTCAATAATAAAAACTATCTTAGCCTTCCCCTAGCTACTCTTTATATAGGGATACACCCTTATGGCTCTTATAAGAAAGCTTCCTAATCTATGAAAACACTCCATAAGAGAATCCTACTAAAACTCTTTAAAAAAAAGTCCCAATTGAACAAAAATTAGGAAATCATGATCTAATACTAATTTGGTAATTATGAACTAGAACAGAAGTCCTGTGCTGACACTAGCTTGGTAAATTCAAATTAAGATGGAAATTCTGTACTGATGCTATCTTGGTAAATTCGAACTAAGATGAAAATTCTATGCTGACGCTAACTTGGTAAATTTGAACCATAATAGAAGTGTTGCGTTGGCACTAACTTGGTAATTGATTACTCAGTTGGATTAGTGACGTCATCTAAGCTTCTTATGTTTCTTGGAGTAGTCCCAACTTGCATAGAACATATTGGCCTTCTCCTATAATCCATCATCATCCCTTGGTTGGGGAGAATCCGTCATCGGATTCAAATCATCATCTAACTGACCGCCAACATATGGTACCAAGTGTTTGACATTGAAAACATCATGGGTACGTATATGGCTGGGTAGCTTTAGTCTACAAGCATTTTCATTGATGACTTCAACTATCTCGTATGGTACAACTTTCCTTGGTGCCAGTTTTCTATGTTGCCCAACCGATAGGCATTCCTTTGTTAAAATGGCCCAAACATAGCTTTCTACATCAAATACTACTTTTCTCCTATATGTACTAAGATGGGTATTCGAAAACCAACTTTGTAAATGTTTACCCAGTTGGTCTGAATCCCATACTGCATCTCTCTCTCTCTC